GATAAAATCGGATGAATACTTCTCCTAATCCCAAATTCCTAATATAAGAACTTCAAACTTCTGGTAACATACCCTACAAGAAACTGCTGATGGGTTCACCAATACACTCACATTGGTTATGTCAGTACGGACGGACAGTTTACTTGTCAACTGGCCGTCACTGATACTGTTAAACCGAGCCATCTTCGAATTATATTACTTACATGTGTAAGAATGAAAGTGCTGAATCCTTTACTCAACAACTGCGCAAAACAATGTTTACTGTTCTTCTTGCCACAAACGAATAGTATTGCACGCTTCTTTTGGGTTTGGTGTTAAAAATATATTTTTTTATGAAAGAGAGGAGTTTTCAAATATACATACATGCGTAAGTTAAATAAGTTTCAAATAAAACTATATATTTAGTTAATTTCCATTTGCATTTTTAAATTCAGAAATATCCATTGATTTAGGAAAGACGTACGCAGAGCTATTAAGAGGAGGAGATGGCACTAAGTGAAAATTTCAATTCATATTTTATTATTTAATTATATTTTTGTTACACTCTTATTTTATGTATATTATTATAACTAATTTTAATAAAAAGTTTTGAATTTATTAAAGAAATAAAAATTATATTATCTACTGCGCAAAAGAATTTTTCACTTGTGATAGATTTACTATTATATAACTGACAATTTTCAGCTATGATGAATTTATGGTCAGCAACGACTGAGAGTGAGCAGTATAGATATATAGTAAATAAATTCCAAATATCCATGCGTTAAAGAGAGATGCAAACTCACGCACATACGTTTGTTTACACATACTACATATAAATTTCATCATTCTAGCAGATTTTTTGAGGAATGAGTCGGTCACTGTGTAAGCTAGCTTCGTAACTTAATTACGTGAAAACATGTTCTGCCATTGAATATACTGGAGTGTTGCTAAAACTTAATACATTCAGGCCAAACCTTCCTTTGGTTGCTGTATTCCACATATATTCAATAAATTAAATTTGGCCCCTGGTTGAACTTAAATTAAATATTTCCGACAACCAAAATGTTGTAATGAAACTAAATGAGTATTTGACCTATAACGTTAGAGTCAAACAACGTCAAGTGTGACACGAAAATTTCACTAAATTGTGAAAGCCTGAAATGAGTAACGTTATAAGTGGCCCCGCCTCTAATAAGTTTAATGTACAAATCTCCTAAGCCACTTAAACTAAAATAACCAAATTAGCTACAGATAAATCCTATAAGAACCCGTACCGACAGTTTGAAAACGGATGAAATCAGATTTTAACCCAATCTAAGAGCGGCATAAACCATTTACTAAATCCACCAGAAACATTAAATTTTACACTTAAAATGAGACAAGAAGGGTTTAGAGGACTCAATATGAAATAAGACAATGGGTGTGACCCCGCCCCCATTTAGGTCAAAATCCATATCTTGGGACCTCCTCGACCGATTTCAACCAAATTCGGCAGGTAATAATATCCTGACCTTCCTACATAACAGTGCGATAATAGACAAAAATCAGGCCTACTGTCCATATAAAACAATTTTTAATTCCATCTGATTCTTTGAATTTTAGGTATAAAAAACAAGATATTAATATATCCGGATAAAACTATGCACAAATAGTGCCTTTATGGTGCCTCACCTTATGACCCAAAATTGTCGAAATCGGGCTACACGCCCCCTACCAAATATGTGGACCACAGTTCCTATTGCGAACTTTTTATCGAAAATGTTGATCAATCTGTGAAATACATTATTGAAATTCGGAAAAAATATTTTCCTGATAATATAATATTATGCTTGTGTGTCTAAAATAGATTGAATTGGATCAATACTTCTCTTAGCCCCCATATACCTAATAGAAAAACTTCCCAACTAATGGCTGACTTTATACTGTATATATCGGTCAATATGTAAGTTATCCTAATAAAATTGTGAGGGCGTGTTTTTCTAATAATGGTGCAGCGTTGTGCCTAAAATGAAAGCCCTAACACCAAGGATTGAACTCAATATTATTATAACAAAATATTTTGGGCAAATACAAATTTTTATTTTTTTTTTTTCGACAAACAAATTTTTTCATTTTATTTCTCACTTTCAGCGGGAGATTTTGATAGCTAAAATAAGATATGAAATTTTTAATTTAAATTTTATTAATTTTTCTGCCGAAAACTGCATAAATAGTGGTCCCCCTTATGTCGTTGGATTATTCCTACCTTTAGTAACAATGAGTAACAACGTAATATCTGTCCTTTTCATTACGATAGATGGCAACACTTGAATTTCAACTTTCATTACATTAAAATCTCACAGAAAATTCAAAGTTTGGTACTTGTACAGCAGGTTCTTCATCGCTCATAAAGCTTTCTGATAACACCAAAATATTCGTATTTTGGAAGGCTCGATCGGTAAAATCTTTGGCGTGTGCACGAAGATTTTGACAATTAAATATTAAAATTGGTTTAAAATTATTGTTATCATTGTGGCGCATGAAGATATGTTTTCCGCGAAATTATAAATTTTCATACGTAACAAACAATCCCCAGTAACGTACTTTTACATAACCTCGACTCCACTGCGCCCTTTGTAGCCTCCTTTTCACTCATTTTAATTATATTGAACGACAATAAGCGGCAAGCAGCCTCTGTCAAATATTAACATACACACGTCACATTCATATGGGCAGAGTTATTTAGACAGCAACAGGCTTGTAGTTGCATTTTTAATTTTGCCGACGATAATTGACAGCTGTAGTGTTGCCACTAATATGTAAAATTATACAAAGCTCTAGCAAATCTAATGTTATTTCACCAACAGAAGCATAAAATAGCACTGATATATTATTTGTAATAACAACTGATAATTTAAAACAAATTAATCGACCTACAAGTATTTACTTATTTTTTGCTCAAAAAATTTTACTTTGAACAAAATATTTAAATTTCATTGACGTGAAAGGTTTCGCAGCCGTCCTCAAAACGTTCAAGAAGCTGTCTCCAAGACGACATTTGCCGACCAGAAAACTTCGGGTTTCCCTTTATTTCCCTATAAGCTTTTTTTATGTATGCATACTATATGCCAATACAGTCAAATATTTTGGCATAACGCTCGATGCTATATCACGCTGGACACATTAAGATGAAAAGGATTGAACTTAGCCTGACATTGTCAAAAGAATGGCTAATTGGATGAACCTATCCATACATAACAAATTACTTTTATACAAACAAATCATCATGCCGGTATGGTGGTAAGGTGCTAAGGAGTATTGTTAAGGCCCTCTGGTACATCAGAAATGCTGATATTCATTGCGACCTAAATGTAAATACAGCCGTCGAAGAAATACAATTTCAGGCAGAAGTTAGAATACCAAAAAATTCAACGAACAGTGTTCAGTAAGAACCCCTATGATTGCGGCATAATGAACTTTGCTAAGGGCAAATATTTCAGTAGATTTCCTGTGTTCTAATATAGGTCAGAAAGATCTCGCAGTAGCACAGAAGTTAGTCGTAGAGAAGAGCAAGAAACCTGCCGGAAATATCCATGGGAAAAGGAGGTTGTGCAAGTTGATAAATTTAATTGACCTCTAAGCTTTAGTTGTGTGTACATATTTTCCAAATGTGATCTGAAAACTCAATGTTTTGATTATATGAAAATTTGGTAGTTTTGCAACAGATTTGGTAGGCATTTTGGTCCAGAAAGAATTTCTCAAGTGGCAACACTGGCGTATACGTATACGATTACTCTTTTAGCACATTCTAAGGTTTTGCCCATCCCTGCTATAAAATGTGCTGTTACACGCGATCGTAGCCTTTCTTTTCTTGTGGTACTTATTTTCATACAAAGTGGAGCGAATTTTCGCTCACTTACTCCAAGCTTAGTCCATCCCAAGAATGATATAATACAAGATTACGATAGTAAATTACCGTTACTTGTTTCGGTTTAGGCCGTGACACTTGTTACAAAAACAAATTACACTATGCCGCCATCTTGTGACGTATTTCTTATGAGTTGAAAAGAAGAAACATAGAACAGCATGTAAATTGTACAAAAAAAAAACGTCAACACTTTTGTTAATTCGTGAAATAGCCTTAATTTATTAGTTTATAGTGAAAATTTTTTACTGAAATATCTTAGTCATTTTTATACCCCCAACAGGGTATATTAAGTTTGCCGCGAAGTTTGTAACACCCAGATGGATATTTCGGAGACCCTATATAATATATACATAAATGATCGGCATGATGAGCTGAGTTCATTTAGCCATATGTGTCCGTCTGTATATACGCGAACTAGTTTCTCAGTTTTTAAGCTATCGATTTGAAATTTTTCACCTGTCTTTTCCTCACTAAGAAGATGCTCAAATGTCATAACGGCCGATATCGGACCACTATCAATCAAGTGCTTGTATGGGAAACTTTTTTATTTGAAGTAATATCTTTACGAAATTTGGCTCGAAATTTGGTTGAAACTAGTAAAGTAGGTCCAGAGATATGTGATTTCATCTAAATGTGGGCCTATCATCAAATTTTAACACTAGCTTCATTAAAGTCCACTTGTATCATCCTGGGTGTAAAATTGAATGCCTTTGGCGTATTTGGTTATTAATTTATCGCGCTTTAAGTAGACAGACGGATAGACGAACAGACAGACTGTCACTCTCAACTCATCTCGTCATCCTGATCATTTACTTATATATAACCCTATATCTAATAGGATTATTTTTAGTTGATACAAATAACCGCTAGCTGAACAAAGCTATTATACTCTGTAGCAAAATGTTAAAAGATGACTTTTTTAACAAAGTAAGACATTACAATGTTCTCTTTTAATAAATGTTAAGTGATGGGAATTTTTAAATGTCAAAAACACCTGTTTTATATATCTCTAACGCCAGTAAGAACAGTCTAGATTAGTGAGTAGATGAAATGTATTCTAATCACATCAAATTTTTGGTCCGCACATGGTATTATGTTAAAACTGAATTACTTTGTAAGATTTTGTAAGTTGAGGATCAAATTGTATTTCATGGCCATAATCTGGTTTTCCTGGTTTAGTAAATGATAGCGTTGATGAGGTCAAGGCTCCAAGAGCGTAGTGAAATTTTAGTAAAATTTTGCCTTGGTCAAAATCGAGTGTTCGCTCTGCAATGTCTTTATATGCTGGTAAATATCCAATAGTTTGACGCTTAAATTTTTCTATTGTTTTCTGCATAAATGAAAATAAATGATTAGATAATTTTGTCATTTCAATAGTTCTAGCATATTAGATATTTAAAAACCTTCAAAGCTTGTCCACCTGGTTTAAATTCGAACGCCTTTAAGGTACAATGGTCGGCACGGTTACTGTAATTAAGAACAATTCTCTCACTGCTGACCGAAAGGTTTTTCAAAGAGTCAACTCTCGTAGCTGGATAAAAATGCAATATTTTTGGCTCATTAGGATCACGGTTGTACTCCATGACTGCAAAAGATAATATATCAGTAAGTATGTGCCGATAAAAGTATAAAGTGCTATAAGTAAGCCACACTTTATGCAACAAATTTAGAACAGAGAATTAATGTAAAGTAGACATCCGTAGTTTACAAGCCATTAAGAAGTGGACACACTCCTAGTTAAGTTTTATGAATGTATCATAAAACTTCTAAAGCTATATCAATTAATCTCGTTGGAAGCATTTTAGAGTGTCAAGGGTTATGTTTAAAACTACCAAAAATACATTAACTCATTAGATAAAAACGTGATATAATATGCTTAATATTTTTCAGTAAAGATGAAAGGGCTGCATGTTAGTCAATGCAAAACAAGTAAGGAAGGGCTAAGTTCGGGTGTAACCGAACATTTTATACTCATGTAACTTGCAAATTCGATGCAATCGTGAATGAATTACAATCAAGTTTGGTATCTTCTTGACTTATATTGAAGGCCATAAACTTAGACTCAGTTTTATTGCTATATTTTAGTTCGTATCAGCTAAAATTATATTAAAAACGCCAAATGAGATTTATTTAAGTGATATGAACTCGACCGGAAATACTTAATTTAACATATATTGAGTTGATGTGGAAAACGTCAACCATAGGATCGGAATTCATTGTATTAGGGATATGAGGTTTAGACCAAGGTATACATATATTCTGATTCAGCGTTAAACCATACAATTTTTAAGAAAACTTGCTCATTTAATTTCATTAAAATATCACATTTTGACCACCCTGAATAGTTTAAAGTCAGGTGGAAAGACGAAAGTCGGGGTATATATATATATATATATTTATTATATTCGGCATAAATCTCGTTAGAAAAACAAAAATATATAGTAATATTGATTTATTTTTGCTAACGCCACATACTATTAACATGCCACAGACTAATAAAATGCTCTCAGGGTTTCATTCAGGTACCTCACATACCACCACCAATCATATGGAGTAAAGTAAAGTATGAGGGCTAATTTAAGTTTTCACCCAATTTTATCCATTTTAGATACACAAAGATAAAATCTTTTGAGCAAAACACGCTCTCTTACTTTTAGTAGTTTTGATCAAAATCATGGGCGGGATTATCACATTATTTTTACACTGTAGGTAGTGTTGCTAAAAAGATTTATTCTAAGTGAATTTGGACTTGATGTGTACCAAGTTTCATTAAGATATCTCAATTTTTACTCAAGTTACTCGGATTCTAACTCGTCTCTGCATCCTGATCATTTATGTATACTCGTATATAACCCTATATCTAACTCGATTAGTTTGAAGTGATACAAACAACAGTTAGGTGAACAAAACTATAATACTCTGTAGCAACATGTTGCAAGAGTATAATAAGGCCAATAGGCATGGCACCGCCCAATATCAAGTTAAATCCTATGCCTCAGCAACTACTCCTTATGTTACAGTCTGAAAATATATACATATATTTCTGAAAATAATAAGCTGTGCTGCCGGTCACTAATATAGCTTTCATATCAACCAATAAGTTCCGTTTTAACGAAAAAATAGATCACAATAAGGTTTCGTGCTGATTGTGAATAAAATCGGTTTCGTACTTATTTCGACCCCCATATACTTGTATGTAAGTGCAGTCGGATATACCCAGTATTTTAAATATCGTTCCTTTGGTTGAGTTTTCATACATATATCTCAATAAAAGATAATAGATAATTGAGTAATAACAAGTAAGGAAGGGCTAAGTTCGGATGTAACCGAACATTTTATACTCTCGCAAAGTCAAATGGTACACTCGTTTGAGATTTCTTTGTGGATTGACTGATATTTTCGGTAGAAGGTCAACTATAGCACTGGGGTCCACATATTTAGTACTTAGGGGCTTGAACAGTTTCGGTTCGGTTTAGACAATTTTTTATCACAAGGTGGCATACTTTAAACGTATTATTCACGCAAAGGTTTACCCCGATATAATCATTGTTGCTTGATATGCATAGTGGGAAGTGAAAGAATCAGATGGAATTGAAAATGGTGTTATATGGGATATAAACGTGTTTGTAGTCCGATTTCGCCCATTTTCGCACTATGATATAGAAATATGAAAATAACGTTATGTACCGAATTTTGTTGAAATTGGTTAAGCAGATCTCAAGATATGGGTTTTCACCTAAAAGTGGGCTGTGCCACGCCCACTGTCTAATTTTGAACGCGGGTCCTATAAAGTCATCTCACACCATCCCAGAGATAAAATTTAATGTCTCTGGCGTGTTTAGTGCTTGGTTTATCGCGCTTTTAGTAGTTTTTAACAGTACCCTTATATGGGGAGTGAGCCGAGTTGCCACCCGATTTCAACTTTTTTCACACCGTCAATATAAGTGCTAAAAACATTTGCTTCCAGTGAATTTTGTTATTATAGCATTAGCGGTTTGGAGATATGCCCATTAAACCTATTAGAAGCGGGACCACGCCCACTTTAAAAAAAAATTTTAACTGCAGATGCCCCTCCCTAATGTTATCCTGTGTACCAAATAACAGTCTTGTATCTAATTGCGGGGCTTAGTTATGGCAATTTATTTGTTTTTGTTTAATGGTGTTTTGTGGTATTCGTGGCAGTGGTCGATTACGCCCATCTGCAATACCAACCGTCTCACGGTACCAAGAAACATGTCTACAAAGTTTCATAAACATATCTCAATTTTTACTGAAGTTACAGCTTGCACGTACGGACAGACGGAAAGACGGACAGACGGACGGACGGACGACAGTCCCGGATTTCAACTCGTCTCTTATCCTGATCGTTTATGTATATATAACACTATATCTAACTCGATTAGTTTTATGTGATATACAACCGTTAGGTGAACAAAACTATTATACTCTGTAGCAACAGGTTGCGAGAGTATAAAATTATGGATATTGGTAACACATTCCGAAATATGTATGACGTATGTACTTGTATATATTTGTGTGTTAAGTTGAGTTATAAATATCACTGACATAAAACTAAATGTAATAATGGAATAAGTTATATTTAAGATACAAAAATTATTGTAATCTTTTCACGGTTTTATTAAAAACGAATGTGAATTAGTTTTGGACATCTTATTTTTCTTTTCACGCCTGAACTAAGCCTTATTTTATACAGCTTTAGTTTTACAAAATGAATGTGCGATACTTCGCCGTTTAGCGCTTGTTTACTTGTTTGTAATACAGATTGCAGGCATCTCAAAATATTTCGAATGAATTTTACTTTTACACATTACTGGAGTACGTAGCATAAGGCTGAGGATACAACCTAGTTACTCTGAGCTTTATTTACTTTAAATAACTCGCTAGTTGGTAAAATTTGGGTTTAAATGAATTAAATGGGTTACTATGAAATTCGCGTAATCTGCAAATTTAACTTAAACTTTTGTGTAGCTTGTGAACACCATAAAGCACTGTATAAACACCTTCGAATTGCGCTCAAACGGCAGAAGGAAAAAATCCTCATCAGCGCGATGTTTTGATTTGCGTACTGTCTTAGCTAGCCCGTACTTTTTTGCCGGTTTTCCAATACGAGATCATGTGTTTTTGTCGTGTTAGCGACCGATATTGCCCTTTTTAAACTGCGGACACACTCGCTTCCACAGCAAACCAACCAGTCCGACGGCGTCATCTACGATTATCTATCTACGACGATCTTATCTACGACAGAAGATTTGGAAGTGAAACTCGAGATTGAGTTAGAATAACAAACATTGGCGAAGACTTTTCAATTTGGATATATGACAGTAAAATGAAAAAAGTTAAATAAATGTTTGAAGTTTTAAATCCATGTTAATTTCTATCGATAAGATGGGACTAGTTTGTTATTCAATTAAAGGAAATCAATTGATAAACAAACTTATAGCAAAACACGGCTGCTCAGTTGCAAACAATAAATACTCGGAAATGACACTCCACAACCGCCGCAAGGTCCTACCCTAAGAGCAAAGCTTAGCTTAGTTTTCTGTTGCTTCAGTTTGATTGTTACAGACAATTCGCAGCAAGATATGTAATAACAATTAATAATACAAGTAGGTTTGTTTCCGAACGGCTCACTATCAATAGCTAGCAAAGTAAGGTCAAAGTTCTGCTGTTACCAAACATTTAATACTCTTGCAACTTTCTAAAATCAAAGCCGGGGAAATACCTTCAGGTGTTGACAAAACTTTATATTAAACAAGTGAGGAAGGGCTATGTTCAAATTCGGTATCATATTAAATTATATTATTGGTCATAGACTCATTAATAAAATAATAAAGTCAAGCTAATTAACTCAAATGAGATATATGTCTGATATACACTCAACCACAAGGGCTAAATATGATATATGCGGTATATATTAAAACATCAACCAGCCGATCGGAAATCAGTACCTCGATCAAGATTTCCAAATTCAGGGTTAAATAACATTATTTTTAGAAAATTTTCCACTTAATTTCATTCAAATATTGCACATATTGACCGACGACCATCGAAATCGATGAAAATCACTATATCGTATATAGGGCTGGATTAGATCTGAACTGATCACATTAACTGGGTTCGCAGAAAAATTTCCTTCCAACATATTTCTTATATTGATGTTGCTTCGTAAATTCTTCTGAATTTTAATTAATCAAACAATGACGCATACCACATTTCGTGAAGATATCTCAATAAATTAAAAATTTCCTTATAAGTATTTGATTCCGATCATTCAGTTTCTATGCCAGCTATATGCTACAGCAATTCGATCCAAAAATTACTTCCAGATTGCACCATTGCATTAGAAATAATTCAAGCAGCTATATCTATAGGGATGACAGTTAAATAAAAAGCTGCTGCCAACTGTATGTATGAATGTATCAAGTTACCACATGAAAGAATTTAAACAATTCAAATACAATATCTATAAAAGATGTTTACGCTAAATGTTATATCCTTCATGATTATGTGTTTAATCGAAATTAAAAATTTTATTATAAATCAAATTGCGTGTAACGTTATAGC